CTACTCGATGATTGTCCGAAAAGTCACGAAAACGGTTGTTTTGGTGGTGGGTTTGCTCGGATATTCTGAACAAAATTTTCAAAGCATACCGAAAACTGGGGGCATGTGAGTTTTCCACCAGTTTCACATCCGCCTCGTGACAGCAGTGCCGGATCGACCCGCCTTGAAGGAAAAGCCAAGTGGGTCTTCCGTTGTTTTCATCAGGCACAAACGAGTCTCAGACTGCACGGGTCGTATCGATATGCGTCATGGACGCCCCTATCGCTACATCGGCACAGAGTCCATCAATGGATCAAAGGGCGACAGCATCTGCCACAGATGCCGCCGAAGCAACCGCGAAAGATAGACAAGTAGAAGCTTCTAAAAATCGGTCCCCTCCACACGGCCCCCCTCAGCCTGTCAAGAAGACGAAACACATCGCCCTTTCAACTGAGAACCTTTCTATCCTTGTGGTGAGCTACAATATTCGCTTCAGCGAGCATTCGCGCCGGTGCACGTGCTCCGTCGAGCGCCACAACGATGCACAGTACCAGACCTGCGGTTGTTGCGGGCAGATACCTTGCTGGAGGTCAGTCCGCAAAACTCGTGGTGGAATTTTCTCAATCTCGGGTTTACTCCACGTCCAGGGAGTTGGTGTGGTGCCAGAAAGAGTCCGATGCCCCCTCGACCTCTGTGGGTCGGGGGGCGACGGCGGCTTTATTGGAGTGTGCGGGATCTTTGCCCTAATGGCAGTGCACTGTCTAGTGTGCTGTCTTATCTGGGTGGAACCACAGTTGGTGGGGAAATGGAAAAAAACAAGGCGTTATTTTACGGACATCGTTTCTCTATGCCGACCACGTCTTCTCTATGGATCACAACAATTTGATGCATGGTTGAAGCCAATACAGGTAGCGGGATGGAGACGTTAGCATTCTTCCGCACAGTATGATTATTGCTTGGATCACACCTCCTGCTGTACAGTGCTCATTTCCTTGCCAATTCCTATGTACATAAAAGCCTTTTTCCGTGCTACTGGGCGACTCCTGAAATTCTAAAATCGCAAATTGTGTTGACCGAATCGGGATTTTGTGACACGCAAACGGCGCGTTGTGCACACACAACGCGCCGTTTTCTCGGACGGGCGACCCCTGCTAGGTTAAATGTGTATCGCACAAATGTCAAAATGTGCGCGCGTACAATCCAAGTTTACTGTACAGAGAGGACTCGCCCAATAGTGCCGAATTGAGTAATTCCACGAGTGAGAAATGCAGGGGTTTCTCGGTGATCACAGGTTATCATACCTTGCATTGCTGTTAGACACCTGTCCTAGACGGGGACGCGGCCACGAAGATGCCCAACAGTACAGTAAACGGATCATCCTTTCCAACAAACCCCACAGATCCTCTCCGTCTTACTCCAGTGCAGACACGCAAGGGCACCGACACAACCACAACACAGCATGAAAAGACGAGTGCAGATGGAACCAAAGAGATAGAATCAAATGAGTGTGTTATTCCAGGTTTTGAGGAAGTAATTGCCTGCTTTACGGGAGTGGAGGAAATGGTGAACAATTCGGGTATCGAGGATGCAGTTCGTCATTTGCACCGTGCAAAGCTCGAGTTGCTAACTGCACACGCTGAGCAGAGTCGTTCCGAGAGGCGCCAGACGCTTGTAAACGAGTATTTTGTGTGACCCCATTCATTAGTGCAAGATGCGAGTATTGCATGTTGTTGGAACCTTGCATGGGGGTGCACTACTCGGTGTGGTTGACTGTACACAGAGAAAACGTCGGCCGCCGCCCGGCCGACGAGACTCGACATCTACATCCTACCGAGCATGGGTCTGAATGAGACGCAGCAATAGAATAGCCATTTGGTCATTGATGGTTCTGACGGTGGCTGCTCGTTGGTGAAAACACTCATCGCACTATCACGATTGAGCTTAGCTCACAGCACACACTGTAGTTAGAGCTTTGACGGCGTCATCGCCGGCGTCCGGTGAGTACTGTACAAAGCATGCGTACAGCAAGGAGACGCACATTATGTGCGCAAGCATTTCCGTGGCAAAACTCATTTTTTGTGCACAAAAAAGAAATATATGACTCTAACACAAAAAATAATTTCCGGAGGCGCCCACTGTCTTTATTGAAGTCACAAGCATAGATGGGCTTCAACCGTGCAATCAGATGACCTTCTGGGGGCCACGCAGGGCCAGCACAGGTCGCGTCTTTTAAAACTATGTTTGCTCGCATCACATGCGGTGCTGGATTACGGTACAAGGCGTTTTAGATAATTGCAGTTTTCTCTTCAGATTAAGACCGTATCAATGAAGTCGTGCTGCAATACGACCCAATCATGATACTAGTATGCAACCGCCACCGCCACCCACTCCCCGCAAACATATTGTAATCACTTTCTTGTTGCTGTAGCACTGTCACTTGTGAGCGAGACCGCCATTGCGTCGCGCTGAGAGCCCCCTACTCCCAGTGCCGCGTATGCCTTGACTTCGGATGGATGAGTCGAAAGTCTTCTTAAGAGCGACGTTGTCTTGACTTGTTAACATATCCATCGTGGCATCGTTGTCCAGAAGGCGAAGGGGTAATTTGACGAATGGGCAAAGAAGGTTGGTCGCCAAGCATGCGTGACAGACCAGCAATTCCTCCATGAACATTTAAAAAACGGTGCCTGCCAGCAATGCCAAGCTTTGTACAGCGGTGCGTCACCAGACATCGTATCTTGGCTCACGTGAGATAATTTTGTCAGCCGTTCACGGCTGACAAAATTATGGCACAATATCAACCAGGGTGTGAAAGAATATGATAGCTAGTGATTTACAGAGGGCGGCTTGCACCATCGGCGACTGCTGCTGGCTGGTGCCAGCTGTGGTGCCAGCACCACCTCATACTCGAGACCATTCCAGCTCCCTCCGATCGGAGCAACGATCAATAAAACCAACACTGTTCAACTTGAACCACGGCTTTCGGCCACACAGGGGACAACCTGCGATATCAGCACATTGCGACAGTGCCAAAAACAGTTTGAGGAACAATGTACTGTAACGGAAAAAAAACGAATAATGTTGCATACGGTTATGCATTTATATCGCCAAACGCAACGCACAAGCTCCTGCATGTGTCGTGATATTGCACTCTAGTGATATTGAGGATCATGCCCAGTTCTCGCAATCTTCCGAAACACTTTTTTTTCATGTTTTTCAACAAAGCAGGCTTGGTACGAATTTTTTTGATTTATTTGGGTAGACTTTCCTCGGGGCTCAACCGAGAGACAAGTGTGTTGTCGCACGGGAAGCACTCCGGCCCTGTGGCCCTATGCAACGGACACGCATTGCTGTTATCACAGCGTATGATACTGTACAGATATCATAAAGGTATGATAGAGGTCGTACTCGCCAGGACTCACACGGACGGGGCGACCTGACGCTGCGGCTAAAACTTTAGGGTAGAGCTCGCCAAAATCTGCGGCGCTGCCCTGCCCACCCCTCTGAGTTTTATCGATTATAGTAGAATGTCAGTGGGAAGCGTAGGGGTTTGTAGGGCGGTCCCCCAGCTCTAGCGCCGGACAGGCAGTAAAGTTTACGGTCAAGTGTTGCAGCCCGTGCGACAATGCATACATGTCCAATCCCATACTACTGGTACAGGAGGCGACGTCATCTTCTTTGTCTTGTGGAGCATGCATCGCCAATCGTCTGCTTCACATCCGCCTTGTACTTGTTTGCTATGAATCCTCGCCTTCTTACAGAATACAAAACAAAACAAAACTCGCGACGATCATCTTTGACACGGTATGCCCGGATAGTATCAGCTACGACTTGCCCCGGAGGCTGTGACAGTGCCGTCAAAACTATTCTCTCTTCGTCATGCTCATTGCAACCCTCCGCGGTATCTTCTCGTCTCTGCCTACGGAACTACTCTAGTTGTTTTTGTGAATTTCTCGCGCTACGATGCCCTCCCTGCTTTCTTTGTCATTTCAATGTTATGATTCCCCTGCCCATACACTGCCTCTCTTTTCACGATCTCAACGCTCCGTGCGGGGACCGCATCTCTAAACTACACCTATGGACTTCAAAATGTCTCGGAAGGCAGTATCACGCGTGTACAGAGTACAGTGTAGAAATCTGCTGTTGCTTTCCCAATCTTGCGTGAGTTGTAAACGTTCACAGCTCTCTTGCGACGTCAACAAAGCTGCTCAGTATCATCTTTCTGAACAAGGAAAGCCTCATACGGCTTTGTAATAAACACCCACAGAGCATTCTTTTCGATACGCCTGCGCGAAGGACAACTCCTCTGTCCTCCTAAACCTATAAAACGACAAAACCCGATCCGCATCCCAGCATCTCCCCCACACCATCACTCACAACTTCAACCACCAACACATCGCCTTCCCCCCACTTAATCGCACTAACCCCATCTCCCAATATGGTCTCCGCAAAGTTTATCGCGTGCCTCGCCCTCTTCTTCTCCGCCGCCCTCGCCGGCGCCGCCCCCCGCCGCATCGTCAACGTCGTCAAAAACTTCGTCCCCGTCACCCGCCAGTCCGAGACCAGTGAATTCGCCGTCACCGAGACCACCGTCGGCTTCGGCCGTGTCACCAGGGTCGGCATCAGTGTTGTCCGAGGCGCCACCGCCACCCTAGATTTCGACGTTACCGTCACCGCCATCGATGCTGAGACCATCAACAACATGAGCTCCTCCTTCGTCGAGACTCTCACCGCCGAGGAGCGCGTTCAGTTCGAAGAGCTCGTCAGCACCTACGAAGGTGGCCTGGACCTTCCCCTCTTCAACCTTTTGGGCCTCAACTTCGCCGAGAGCATCAGTACCGAGCAGATCGCCGAGGCTGCCGAGAGCATCGAGAACTTCGAAACGAAATCCAGCGCCGTCGAGGAGATCCTCGACAGCGTCGTCGACAGCCGCATCAGGATCACCGGTACCTTGTCAGCCACCGGTCAGAGCAACATCCCGACTGTCGCTTTCGCTTTCATCGAGCTCTCCACCGTTACATTCGATGACGGAAGCAACCTTGTGGTGGTGTCCAACAACCCGTCTGACGTGGTTGCTGCGGATAGCGACGGTGCCGTTCTGCCGTCTGAGGGTGAGAGGCTCAACATTCTCTTCTGAGGAGATTTTTGGAGAGGTCCCGCTTGATCTTGACCGAGAATAAGTGTTGTTCAAAAAACCCAATTTAATCAATTCTAACAGTAGTAAAAGCAGGAAACCTTCACACTGCAGTTATCAATAAAAAGCAGACAGCAGGCTTGCCTCTTTTTTCACGCAATGAGAAACTTTATTTCGTGTCCCGCAAATGACAAGCGACTGCAATGAGAAAAGAGATTCTCAGAGAAGGTTGACATGCAAACAGTGAAAATCATATGATTGTAAGAAAAAACAACAAGCTCACTGAAAGACTTTGGGCCCTGGCCCGTCTAGCTATTGGTAGGCTTTGAATGCACCATCTATGTGCCTACAGTTATAACTACCTTCCAGTGTTTATCCGAGCGTGGTCTGAGAGATTCCATGAGCACCGATGACCTCGATCCTCCCAGGAGCAGGTGATCAGCGGCGACTTTATTGTACAGGTCAGAGGCTTACCTTATTGGCGTTGCCTTATTCAAGGTGCCTGCCTTACTTGCCTCTGGATAAAACTGCTTGTGTGCGTTGGGGTTGTGCAGGTTGGCCGAGCGTCGTTCTTGGGTTCTGGATGGAACCGCAATCCCCCCTGGACGTGAGTGCTGGTTTGCGCAAGTTGGTAGTAGGCGAATGTACATGTTGGTTTTGTGTTTTTGTACAGTGTGGCCCTCAGGGCCACACTGTACAAAAACACAAAAGTGGTTTGGTGAAAATGTTTGCGTATTGGTCCGTCGTTGGTATTCGCCGAAGTTTGGGTTCTCCTTTTTGTAGTGTGTCGTGCAGGTACTGTACCATTCAAGGGTAGTGATAGCGGACTTGAATGCATTTGCGGCGTGTGGTTGCCGCCATACTTTTTGCCGTTTGTGCTGCGGCGGTATTGTTATTGTACTCCGCCTACTGTACATGGTCGGGCGAGTGGTTAGAAACTGCGCTTCTGCGATCAGTTTTTGGCGCAATACAGTACCAAGGGTATGGTGAGGGTTGTTGCTTCCGCGGCTGCTACTGTACGCAAGGCTGTTTCGCATGTTCTCTTTGCGTCTACCAGCTGTTGGCGTACTTGTAGCAGCCAGTGGATGAGAGGAAGAGACGAGTTTGGCTGTTGTGTCGCGTTCAAGCAGCATCGCGACGTGCCTGGTACCTTTGAAGGTACCCTAAGGGTACTCCATTCCTGTGCACAGCACTGCACACTGTGCAGGGCACACTGACACGCTGGCCACGTGGCCGCAGAGAGCTTCTATCTGGCCTATGGTACACTTGTCATGCGTGTAGCACGCAGTATGACTAAGGACAGTTTAGCAATACTGTACTGTAGTGAATTTGCAGGGTACACTGCAAGGTTGCCCTTCGAGTGGTACAGTACTGTGTACATGTACAGCTTTACATTTGTAAATTTACTGGAGAGAAATCGGAATCTCATGTCCCTCCCTCGTTGCCGGCGCGCCTTCGTGAGACGGAAGCAGCAAGACGGCATGTTGCCCTCAATCTTAGGATAAACTTTACGCCCGCAGGGCGTATCCTAAGACGCTCTTATAAGATTGAGGGCAATTCTACATCTTCCGCGCCACTACGCAGAAACACACCACGTCTCGCGACGACCAGCGCCTTACGCCTGATGCGGTCTACTAGGGTACAGTACCCAAGGGTACCGTTTTTGAATCGAAGCCAGCCCCCACCTCCCCCGCCCCTACCCCCCGCCCTTCGCCCTAGGAGACGTGCCTCTCCTCATCTTGTGACCGACTTTCCCTCCGTGAAAACCCTCGCGTGCGGTCGTGTCGCTGCCTTGTGCACGACTGCACCGTCTTCGCCTTCCGTGTGCAGGCATCTCCATGAACGTGTTGCCTTGGCTGGTCGGTTGTGTCACTGCACACGCGACTGAATCATCCCGTTTGGGCCTGCCCGTGCGGCCGGTACCGCACCATCTACTGTACGAAACCTGTGATGGGGTTCACCCCACTTGCACAGCGGAAGAGCGTGCAGTCCCCGCGTCGCTCTCTCTGTCGCAGCCTGCGATTCCGGCGCGCGAGAACGAGATTCAGGGCGGCATGGAGAAATTCTACAGCATGTGTATTTGAGCTACAGTACAGCACTTCTTGCAATGCCCTGCGTACTGCCGTACTGTACTATATATATATAAGCACGTTGTGTTGTTTCAAGGATACAGTATTCACGTGCTTATCGTTAGTAGATCCGTCATGCACGTAGGATGTTCCCAGCAAGCCCTAGTAACCACCACAGCTAGCCTACACTGTAGGCTAGCTGCGGTGGTTACTAGGACGGTATTACAGATGATAGTGGTGTAGGGCCTACACCACTACGGTATCATCTGTAATACCGTGCATACCGTATGGTGTAGATATTGCTACTTGTGCCGATGTTACACGGGAGGCTCCTTGTCGACGCGAATAGAGATACCTACTGAAGCATTGCTCACTACAGTCAGTACCAAGGGTACAGTATACCATACTGTGCTTTATCCATGTGCTGTGCTGTATCTACGCACCGAAGCCTAGATAAGCAGCAAAAACGTGCTGGACTGGACGTTATCCTACGCCTAAGCTCCTGTTTAACAACACGCGACAAGTAGTCTGCCTTCCGCGGAAGTACTCGCCCAACTTAAACTTTACCGAATGCTACAGTACCCTAGGGTACTGTACATTGTGTCGATAATCGATTCGTCAACCCGAAACAAACCCTTTCTTGTTGAGTAAGGGTCCACGTAAATGACATAGATGTACATAGTGTACGAACGAAGCGTTCCACATTAGCCTTGCGTCTGTATTCAATTATATTGCTGCATGATGTTAGACAGTGTCATATCTAAATTATTTATAAAGGATAGCGGAGCTAGATATACCGTACATATTACGATTCAGTTCCTGAAACGTCCACCATTACGTACAGTAGCATCACGCAACAATGTTTTATGAGACATGCTCAGGCGCAGAGCGCCTTCTTACATATTCATTCCGCGCCTTCGCCTCGTGAAAATGTACCACTTGTTCGCAGAGAAGTACCCTTCAAGGGTAGATCCTCCACAATCACGTTCAGTAATGCCCATCGCGTCCGCAATACAGTACCCTTGTACCCTTGGTACTTATAGGGTACTGTGGGTCCGTGCATGTGACTGGAAGAGAATCGAAAGACGAATGCTCACATCGCTCACAGAACTTGGTATATATTGACCGCAGACTGTGCCGCAAAGAAACGTGTCCACTGCTGACTGTCGAGCCCTACTTTCATTTTGATAAGTTGTGCAAAGAGTACAATTTGCTTCAGGGAGTGCATCCAAAGAGGAGTGTCTTGTCTGAGGTTTGCGTCTTCTTCCCCGCTCACAGTCAAGTCAAAAATGGCCGTAAGGATAACCGCGATACGTCTCATCGTCCTGCTCACGGCATGGGTCTTATCTGCTCTCCCGGCGCACTCTCAAATCGATTCTATCAACACAAGACTCCCCACAATCAACAGAATCTGTGAAGCCATCGGCGTGCCATGCAACACAGGTTTGACGATCAGCGGCTGCCCAGAGGTGTGCGTGACAACGCTCGACACAGAGCTTGTTAGCAGGACGGAATCTGGCTTTGCCTGCCAAGTCGACGGAACCGTGTCTACCGTAGGAGATTGCGACTCTTGTCAAAGCTCCACAGGGACGCGCAGGCTCGATTTTGACAGCACCGGCACCTGTTCAAGACAGTATCTTGAATTGTTCCTGCAGGAGACCACGCCTGAGTTCATTTCTGGACTCGCCACTCTTTCGGAAGCGCAGTGCGCAGATGACACTGATGGCAATGTGTTTTCGCAAATGTTCATGGGCGAAGCAGGACGGATTTTCTGTGCAGCCTCGGGGATGGCGCCGAGCCAGGCACCAACGGACGCAGGCACAGTCACCCCAAGTCCGAGCAGCTCGTCACCCGCTTTCTCGACACCCTCTCCTTCTTCTTCTCCGAATACGTCTGCGACCGTTTCTGCCTCTCCATCGAGCTCTCCGGAAGACTCTCCGACCGCTTCTATTACCCCTGATACTGTTGCTATCTCAATCACGCCAGCAGTTGCGTCTACGAGCCCGTCTCATTCTATAGCTCCAGAATCAAGCCGTGAACGAGGGCGTCGGAGAAGCAGATCATTTTGCTCTCGCCAGATAAGGAGGTGCATACGTCCTCGAAACTCTCGAGGCCGGTTCCGTCGTGGACAACGGAATCGCATAATCACGAGATGCTGCATACGTTTTTGTAGATGCCAGTGGTCTACGTCCCGCCACTGTGTGCTCTCATGCAAGACATCCTTATCGCGTGCCCTCTAGAAAGAGTAACAGATTTCTGCGAGCTATAACTACATTGGCGTAATGAAAAGTGCATCGTTGAAATGTGAAGTCCGTTGTCGAAACAGTTCAAAGCGGACCGTCTTCAGGTATGACTCGTACATGGACAGTGATAGTGGAGTATGGAGTTGGTATGAGAATGAGCATCTTTCCAATAGCTCGGGTCGGAGAAATACCAAATCTGAGAGATTATTGCGAAGGGCTGACGCTCATCCTGAGACCAGGTCACCCACTTTATGGCAACTACCTCTCAGAGAGGTAGGGTGAGAATATGTGCGCTACTTCGCGACGCCGTCGTAAGCAGAATAGTAATTATCAGTTCAATAAACTGTGATGTGCACCGTGAACTGAGGAACGGCTTCGTTTAGCTAACCAAAGGACGATGGCTGCGCCCATAAGGCCTTGTCATGATTGATGGTTTCTGTCACATTACACATATCGCAACAAGAGTACTAATGACGGTTTGGGTATCCTTCCCCTGGTTCCGTGAGAGCCTAAGGGCATATTTAGTCCTTGAAACTCTTCCTCTGCAAGATTCTGAAAGAATTGCGCTCTGAACGGCGGCTTTCAGATTTTTCTTCTGACATCTTCTTCCTGAAAACATGAGGTCCTCACCATTGGAGAGATGCCCATAAAAACCGAAGTGCAGGTTTGGTGCAACAAGCACGGAGTCTCGATCTCTGCAAAAGTGAAGGACACTTGCCGCAGGCAAGCTAGTGGTCCAGTTGAGTCGATCATGTACAGCACACACTGACACACGGTAACAAACAGTACGTACGTATCCGCACGTTGCTCTTATTGAATATTTACCCTTGGGTAGCATCTTCA